AGGGTCATGGTTTAGAGTTCAGTGTTTGCATGTTTGGGTTATGGACTTATTGTTAAGGGTTGAGGTTAGTTTTTGGGTTAATTACTTAATGTTGTGATTTAGGATAGTTTATGGTTGATGGTTAAGGTTAGTTATAGGTTTCAGATTTAAAATGGTGTTATAGGGTTAGGGTTTAGGGTTTATTCCTGGTTATGCTTTATGATAGATATTTTGGTTTTTATAGTTTATTAATTAATTTGATTTTAACAATTAGTTTAACATGTGAATGTACATCTTAAATATATCATATTTAAATGACATTCCGACCAACGGATCGAACAACAATATAGTTAATCGGTATAAAATTTACCATCTATAATAATAAATATCAAAGAAAGGAAGAACTAGATGTTGATGAAATTTTTTTGAATGCAAAATTCAAAACCCCCCAAATATTTGCTCAAAAATTCCCTTGCAAACCTTTTTTTTTAATCCCTCCCATAAACCCCCTTCCCCCCAATATTTGATCCAAAATTGAAAATTAGCTCCCATCCCAATCTAATTTTTCGTGACAAAAAAAAAATATTATTAACAATATTTTTTCTTTTTTTTTAATGAATTGAGAAGGGAAAATCGGTCTTCCCTGCGCCTTCTCTCTCTACCTCGACAAAAAAGCTCTTCCCTTTCCCTGCTTATCTGCGCCTCTCTCTCAAATCTCAATCGGTAAAAAAACCCCTCCCTTTCACTCTCAATCGGCCATCGCGCTCCGGTGGTTTCCGTGCCCCACAGCCCACGCGATTCTTCTCCTCTCCTTCCCCAACTCCTTCTGCCAAAATCCTTCTCTCCGTTCTTAGCCAGTCCGATTCAGCGCCAAATTCTGCCATCGCTTTATCAATGCTCTTTTCAATGCCTCTTCCCCCAAATCACTTTCATCCATAAAAAGCCCTAGCTCGCAATTCCAGAGCCCTCCACTTCTCTGAAATCACGACCCAGGTTCTAGCTTGCCTCCATATCAATGCAATCTCTTGCCCAGCTACAACATATCAGTCGACTTTCAACCATAATCTTGCCTCCCTCACTTCGTCGTCAAAGACGATTCCCAGCGCCTTGCTCAGATCTTTCAGACTACCGACGATGACGACAACCCGAATGACCTCATATTCCATGGCAGTGCTTCTCCTCATATATCTATTTCTCGCACTACTGGTGCTCCCTGGATAGCTGATAGATCCATCTGATGTGGTCTTCCATCACGAAACAGATCGATGGGGAAGCATGCTCTAACGAGGTACTTCATGAATTCGCCTTTTCCATCTCCATTGCAACCCTAATTGAGGGTATGGAGTATTGATTCAAATTCATAAGTGACGTATTAGGCTTAGATTGCCCTCTTCTTTGTATTGCAGTTTGATCTCTGAATCGTTTTTGTGGGTTCTTGAGAAGCCAAGGGTCGACGCATCTGAGGTTGAACAGGTGGACACAGTTCGGGATGAAGTCTGTGTTCTTGCAGTTAGCCAATCAATCTCCTCTGCGTAGATCTGTAGTTGATGATGGGGTGCGAACTCCACGGTATATCCCTTTCATCCCATTTTAGTCACTCGGAGAACCAATCTATTACCCTTGATTTGATTTTTTTTTTTATGAATTGGTTCAGCTTGGAGTACTGAGTGAATATAGCATGGATGTAGCAGATCTCAAAGTTTGAAAGCCAGGGGAAGCTGATGTTTCCATTGATTCTTAGTGATTATATGCCTTAGTCAAGTCATGGTTTTTTCTGTTTTGTGCGTGTCTCAGTTTGGTATATGCTATTCTGTAGATATGGCTGGAATTCTTTGATTTTTTGGGCTTAATCAAGAGATACTAAAAGTTTATTGTTATGTTTTGTAGGCTAGTTGTGGTCTCTATTTCATTGTAAGTTCTTGGCCAAGTCCATCAAAGTAAATTGCACCATATAGGTTTCCATTTGCTTCTTTACCAACCCAGTTAGCCTTGTATGCAATTCGTGATTCTAATATCCTACTTGTAATCACAGTTATGGGTCTTGTACTCTGAAGGAATGGAAGGCTGCTTCATGGAGTTAGCACCTATGACTTTCTTTGTGTTATCTTGCCCTCTAATAAAAAAAAAGGATCTTTTGACCTTGATGTCAAGGTAAGAGTCATTTTGCAGCATGTTGGCATTCAGCTTTGTATATTTATTCTCCATTTTAATCATTATTTAGAGGTTGTAGTGTTTCTTTATGTTCCTGTTACAGCTTTATCATAATCACGTGATAAGTGGCTGAAAATTCAAACTAGGGGAAAAAGAACATGAGCAGCTTCAGTGGTACTGCTGGATTTTGGTGCACACAGATGGGTGTTTTTACAAATTGTTTCACCATTTTTGTATGTTTGTGTTCATTGATGCACAAATGACATTGGAGTTGGATAAGTGTTCTTATCATGTGAGTTTCTCCTCTGTTTTGTCTTGGGCAGAACAAGTGTTTCCACTCCTGTGCTTCTCTAATCCAACATCTTCCATGTCATTAGATAACAAGTTTCTCTTATCATTGTTCCACTCTGCTGCTGATTTGGGTAGCTTTCTGATTTGCAGCATATTGGAGATTAGTAGGATTGAAATCATCTCCTCGACCAGTTTCAGAAGATTGAGGTATGTTGTGTTATAGTGCTAGTTTATTTCATTACCAATCAGCCAATTCCAGAATTTGAATCTCCCAATTAATACCATAATGTAAATGAAATACATCACGCTTTAAGGAGTCTGTATGTACTCCATCTTATGTTATGGAATGTCTCTCAAGTATATGATTTGACATATGAGCTTGAGGTGTTCTCTGTTGAATGATGTTTCCCCTGGTTCTTTCTTGCCCAAAACTAATTTGCCTTGTGCTTACCTATTGTGGTATCATCTCATAACTACATAAAAACCAGTAGTCATGGTATGCTTACTTAATAGCTCTTGACAAATTTATATGTTTGAAACATAGAGTCTAATTTTAAGTTTGTTTATTATCTTTTGTCAGGACAAGAAAGACTTGAAGATTTGGGAGTTGATGGATATTGCACCTACTCAAGAACATCTTGTAGAAACATAGACCAAAGATTCATATAAACTTTAGATGATTTGGTTAGAGTAATTGGATTTGTATTGGTTTTCATTATGTCGGAATTTCATGCGACAATAATTAGTTTCAATTATATGTTAATTAACATTGATTAATAAAAGGTAATTATTAAAAGGTATTTGAATTAATTGTATAGACAATAATGTTAGAATTTCATGCTATAAAAGTTGGTCTTTTTAATTGTAATTAATATTGATTAATAAATGGTAATAAAATTAATTAGCCATAGTAAAATACCGTGATCCATTGTTAGTGTCTAGACACAGAAGAATCAACCAAATATTGTGACTAAAGATTGACATCTAATCATAGGAAACGATTATTTCACGGTAAATACTGTGTTAAAAAGGTGTACCTCCCGTCTTTAAATGAGTTTTTTTCCCAATTTTTTTGCGCCAAGATTTGGTATTAATCTAGGGGCTCACCGTGATTAATAGATACAAATTATCACAGTAAAGTATACTGTGACTATTTATAACTAGTCACGGTACAAATTTCCCGTGAATAGTACAATTAGACACGGAGGTATATATTACGGTATTCTTCCCGTGACTAAACCTATTAGACACGGGAAACACACTTACAAATACGGGATTTCCAGTGACTAAAGGATCTTTTTCTTGTAGTGATTCTATTATATTTGATTAAACATCATGTAATGATCTCAACTATCAAGACTCAAGAGATTGTTTCATAGGTTTATGATCAAGCAAGTTGTCAATTTTTTAATTTCTTATGTTGGTTTTGTAACCTTAATGAATCCTCTGCCACATCAAACTTGTTTATTATATATTCAAGCAAAATCTAGTCACTCATTTGTTTAATAATGTATCTTCATATTTTTTTCATTGCAATATGATGATCGGTGAGTTTGTTTTAAATTAGTGTAATAACTAATTATAAAAAAATTCGATGGTTTGGACCGAACAACCCGCAATCCGACCTGTTGTAACCCGCAATCCGATCAACCCGCAACCCGATCAACCCGTAACCCAATTGATCCGCAACCCGATCAACCCAAACCCGATCAACCCGCAACCCGATCAGCCCGCAACCCGATCAACCCAAACCCGCTTGAACCGCAACCCGCTTGACCCGCAACCCGATTAACCCGACTGAACCCGACCCGAACCCGCCTGATTGACACCTATACATATAAGAGACCTGTAATTTTATTGTTAAAGACTTAGTTGTGTTCTAAAATGGGACAAGAACGTGCTATTGATTTAGTTTTAGGGAAGATTGAGAATGATCTTTTAGAAAAAAGTTTGAAAATTTAATGAATAATTTTATTTTAAACCCCTTTACATGTATAAAAAAATATTTTAAACCATAATGAAAATATATTAATTTTTAAATAAGAGTGCTATGAGCATTCATGTTTTGATCAACGGATTTTTTGACCAAACTTAAAGCACAGTTGCTCATTGAGCCCACGTTCAACTAAAGTCAACACAAGCCCATTGTTGACCCTACATTCATTCAATTTTTGTATCCTCCCAAGCCCAATAATACGGCAGTCATTTGGAGTGCCAAAACAACACTATACGGGTTAAATCAAATATTTTCTATTTTAAAAGTAAATAAAAAAGGGATGTAGTTCAGATGGTAGAGTGCTCGCTTAGCATGCGAGAGGTATGAGAATCGATACCCCACATCTCTAATTTGCTTTTTTTTCTTTTCTTCCTCATAGAACGACGCCATTTGCAATTATCTCTTTTTTTTTTTCCTTTTGCGTAGAACGACACTGTTTGCGTCACCCATCTCTAAGCGTCGCGAATTATCTCCTCCAACGAGCCTGGAAAGGAAAGAGAGGTAATCAATGGCCGGAAATGGCAGCCCCTAAATGACTAGATTACCCTTGACCTATATAATGGAAACTCACCGCTGCAAAATTTCATCTCCTTTTCCTTGCCTTCCCGTTGGCGACCGAAATTGCTTGCTGCTTTTTGGAGGGAGAGAATCGGAGACGGAGACGGAGACGAAGATATGATACCGCAGCAATGGGCTCAGCCCTGTGGCGGCAAATGCACCCACAAATACGCAGCTCTAACTCAGATTCCTTGTAATCTTTTTTTCTTTTTGTTAACTTCCCCTCCTTTACATTCCCATAAAGTATATATTCGCTTTGTCTGTTTCCCCCCTCTTTGCATCTGTTTCAAAGGTAGCTTTATATGCAGCTTTGATTAATTCCGGTAGGATCTTTGATTGATAAAGCTGGCGTGGTAGGTTTTTTTTCATTGAGGCATTGTGTCAAACAGCTGCCGCATGCAATCTCGTTACATATGGTTAATGGTGATTGTGATACTTGCTATTGTCCTGTTAAGCTTTTTTTCTTGGAATCATAATCCCTCCGTTGAACCGGATGGGTATATGGTTCTAGCTATCGGGTGCATTGATCATTGTTGTGTGGAGATCCTAATGAGAGCTGTTTGATTCAAATTCTCCTGTAGATCTGGTCGACTCTATCGTCCATGTCTTGGCTCTTTTGAGTTGATTACACAAGAGGAATCATGGTGCAGCTCTCTAAATTTCTTTTATTTTGGAGAATTTTCAATCGTTTACGGAATGCAGAATAGGTTATGAGTCAATCCTGTTTCTTTACGAGAAGAGTTTCTCATTTATCAATGCCTTTGCTTGTTGTGTTAGAGAAATGGCTAGAAAGTATGCATTGGCTTTCTGTTGCTGAATTCCCTTGGACCCATTGCAGTGACTTCATTAATACCGGAATCTAATTGGTAACACAATAAACCAGAGCTTTCAATGCGTTTTCAGTTTTATCTTTGGACGATAATCTGATGCTTTCTTAATCAGTAAAATATGGTGGACCTTTTTGCTTTTGTGGCCTTTTAAAGTGGGATTCCTTGCTGGCTTATGATTGCTGAGAGAGCATATGGCATTTGCTTGATATTACAAAGGTAATAATTAAGATGTCTTTTTGCAGGGAGAGTGTTTTGCAAGAAAGGTTGTAATGCTGATGGAGACACATGGGAAGAGTGTGAGTGTCCATATTCTCTAGTTATCCTCATGCTCGCAATGCGCTGCTGGCGTCCAGATTTGCATTGATAATTATTCAAATAGTCTGTTCGAATCCTAATTGTATAGTAGGAGATGGTGGAAATAGGTATTTTGAACTTTATTATATTGCATACTGCAATACAGATGCTGAAAGACTGCGTACTAAACAGTTGGCTCTTGACATGGAAAATGAATAATTTGTTTGCATCTAGTTGTTTGTTAGGGATTGCCAAAAAAATCTCGAATCTAAAAACTCGGAGTGACCTAGATACAAATGACACATGTTTGGAATCTGCAATTTTAACAGTTGAGCTGCATCTATCCAGGCTTGGAAGCGTGTGAAGAGATATGCTACAAGGACCCTGTATTAAAGGACCAGCAGTGGAGTGCTTACATTGACCGTTCACCTGGAGCTGCAAGCTACTCAGAGGTATCTTAAGTTGTTTCTCCCTTTTCATTTGCTTACATTGACCCGGCCCCTCTTTCTGCCAACAGGAATGTTTCCATGCTTGCGTGTCTGGCTGCGGCTATAAGGTGAGTTTGCTGGACTTAATTGATGTTTATGCTATTTGCATTTTAATTAATTGTGCCCTCAGATCAATTAGCTGATGCAGTTTCCACGAGTAATGATTTTGTTCATTCTATTGACTGCAAGAACTTGTTTGCAGTTTGACGTTAAGAACGACACAGTTGACCAGACTCATCCACACCGGCCGTGCAAACCTTCTCCCCCTCTTGAGAAGCCACCTTCCTCTGTTCACAAACCTCCTACCACCATAGCTGATGAACAGTCAGATTTACCTTGTACTTCTGCTTAGAAGTCAATGGCAGATACTAAGACAAATGAAAATTGTTGATGCTGTGTGTGAGAATTGATTTTCCTGTTGTTGTAGCGTTTACTTCCCTTTTTGATTGGCCGAAATGTGATAGTTTTGAGATCAAGAAATTTTTATTTCTTTAAGAGCTTCTGACTACCCTAACATCCACATTTCGGTAGAGCATACCAGGATAGCTATAATCTCAGTAGGGTTCAAAAACCAACTTTTAGAATAGGTACTTAACCGTCATCTTGTATTATTTTGTCATCTCCAGATGTACTCTCTGAAACTTTGTGTGTTATGATAAGCTTGAAAATATTTATTTCTGATGAATGTTGTGAGCCTGTGACTGTTTGGTTCGTGAATTGTGATTAGGGATGAACTTGGCTTCTTACCTGGTAAGGAAGTTTATCAAAATAAGGTGGCCTATCTCGATCTGTCCACATTTCCTTTTCATCTCACCTACATAATGTGTGAGGCCATATATGTGCCGCTTTGTTTACCTGCTCGCCACCTTCTCTCTTTGGACTTTGAGTTGCCGAATCATACCTAGGTTGTATGCCAAAGTTACTAAACACTGTAAGGCAATGTCAAAAAATAGCTTCTGCCATGTCACCCTTTACTCAAACAACCACACACTTTGGAGGGACCCTTTTGTCAATTCAGATTCCCTTTCTTCTTCGTTGTGTGTTTCCAATCTCCAACCGGAAATTGAAACCCTTCCCTCGCCACTCCTTCTCATCCGCAGACCGCAATCTCAAATCAAAATTCCCAACCTCCACCCGGAATTCGAAGAAATCATTCTCGAAAACTCATCCCAACCGCAATCTAAGATCAAAATCCTTCGCCGTCCTTTCTAGCACACTCAATCTCAAAGGGAAATTCCTCCCGGGGGCCTCTCTACTCATCGAACCTCATCATAGGCTCCAGCTTTTTTGCCACACTCAATCTCAAATCAAAATCCTCTACTGTGGCCCTCTCTCTACTTCCCCTACCATTATTGTGTTTGTTGGCATCTTCTCCACACTCTCTCAAATCAAAATACTCCGTCGTCGCCCTCTTTCTACTTCCCCTACCTTCTCTGCGTTTGTTGCATGTGGTCTGTCTTGGAAGGCCCCGGAAAAAAATGCTGTCTTCTCCACACTCTCTCAAATCAAAATACTCCGTCGTCGCCCTCTTTCTACTTCCCCTACCTTCTCTGCGTTTGTTGCATGTGGTCTGTCTTGGAAGGCCCCGGAAAAAAATGCTGACTCGCTCTTGCTGTGTCTCCCAGACCAACCCTGTAATTTCCCTTGGAAGCCTCCCCCCGCCGCCAAGCAATGAATCATTCTCCGTCTCGCTCTTTGCCTCCTAAAATCAATCCGCGGAGTACCCTCGCAAACCGCCATCGAGCAAACAATGATTCTCCCTCTTGCTCTTTGTGCCCATCGCAGATGAAGAATTTTTGGTCTCTGTCGGCAGTTGCCGCACAAGTGGTGAAGTGAAGTTTATCAGCCCTCAAAACTACAGTAAGAGATTTATCATGATTTGAGGATTCTTATCAGGTTGTTCCCAACGTCCTTCTAACAATTGAGATTCAAAACTTTAAAATCTTAGGATAGGTGAATGTTTGAGCTTTTATGAACCATAAAAACACAACAAAAAAGTTTACCCTCTCTATATGTAAATTTTAATCTTTCATTTCTTTCGTAATCTTGCATTTTTCCCGTGCTTTGTAGAAATATGGAGGTGGTATCCCGGGCATTTAAGAAGAGGACGACCAATGGCGGGCATCAATAATAGCATCCAATCTGGGTGGGACTCGCCCTACTTCCACGACGAATCCATCTCGCCAGGTTATTCCCAATTTCATTCAAACTTGTAGAGATTAATATATAGAGTCATTCCTGATCTTAGGATTTAGGTCAATCGAGAACTTTGTTTCTGGGAGTAGCTGTTGTTAGTGATTAGATAGATGTTGTGACATAATGTTAATAGCTATTGTGGAGTCATTGTTACCGGGTTCAGGAGTTAGCTGACTCAAACTATATACCTCTGAGAGTAGTGGTAGATTCGGCAGATGGCATGATGTAATAAATGATCGAATATGGTCGGAGAGCTCCTCTGCAATCACAAATTTGGGGGCTTTATCCAGTCATGTATTCTATATTCTCAATCTAATAGACAAGTTCTCATGGCTGCCTTTTGTCTGTGAAGAAGGGATCAGAAGAAATTTAGGATTTTTTACTTTAGAACAGAGAAAAGAAGAAGACTGACGAAATCAACTAAATGGATCGAGAAGAAGAATCCACAGCTGTCTTCTGATCGCTCTTTTAGTCAGCAAAAACCCTTTGAAAATGGGCCATAAGTTAAATAGGCTAGACCATTTAAAAGTCCAACGATCTGCTGAAAACAGAAGACTTAAAGGTTAGACAGGCTTCCAGCCCAGTCTTGCTTCTTGACTTCTCGCTTGATAGTTTTCAGTTCAGCTGAAGATCTACAGGGAAAAAAGAACAGAAGAGAAACAGAGTAAGAAACAGAGCAGAAGGAAAAATGCAGAAAACAGATAACACAGGACGTTTTTAACGTGGTTTGCCCAAGTGCAATGGTGTACTTCCACGTCCCAGAATACAGTATGGGAGACCCTTTGTTGATTTTCTGTTTTTGACTTAAGAACACAAATACAAACTATACTAGGAAGGAAATGAAAGAAGCTTGAAAACAAATGCAGAGAGACGAACACTCAGATCACAACCTAATCTAATTCAGCCTCAACACTAGAGATCCTCTACCTCTCTAGTGATACCCTTTACTAAGCTTAGTCCTATACCACAAAGCTTCTTCTCCACAAACGTGCCATCGAAAATCTTCTGTCGTTGGTTAAATAGCTAGTAGAGACTAGCCGTTGGAATCAATCAAGAGACAATCCCCTTTAAATCCCACAATCAAGTGCTTTCCTTTTGTAACAAGACACCTTCAAATCAGCAACGGTCTTGGATCAATGTAGGAGTCAATTCTGACTTGCTATATTTCAACAGTCTCGATGGCTTTTGCAAGTTGAAGCTTCTCGGATCTTGATTGTCATTATGCTTCTTTCAGTAATGTCTTGCAAAGATATGATGTGCTAAATTTGCCCTTAATTTGATGTTTAGTCAACCATAAATTTTTTTCAATTAAATTGAATTTTCTCTTTCTGCTTGCAAGTTTTCCCTTTTGAACTCTTTCCTAAATGTTTATTTGTGTTACCTCAGGGCCTCAAGAATTTGCAACTCTATGGGGTTATTTTGGTCATGACCTGTAAGTATTATTTGTTGATAATTTATGTTGGTGTTTGAAGGTTCAAACCACCAATCTCCTCTATGGAAACTTCAAAAGGACAATGAAACTATGACAGCAGAGTTTTTTTAATACACAATTTATTTTATCTGCCATTTCATTTGCAATTGTCTGTTCACCTTTGCTGCATTTTCTTCCCAAAATTGTTTCTTTTGTCCCCTGTTTCACTAAGTTTTTATAGGCTCTCAAATTAACTGATTATGGTTTATGTGGTTGTATCCCTGCTTTTATGTTAACGTTGCGAATACAATTTAATTTGTTGTATGATTGATGACTAATCTCCAGTTTTTCTTTCTGTTCACTCATTTAGCTTCATTCAATTGTTGTTTGTATTGAGTTTAGTATAATGTTTGGGTGGATTGTTGTTCACTATGTACTTAAGGGACAATTTTATTGCAACATTTTGTTTTTGGAGTTTTAGGTTAACATATGCCATTATGCTGCTTTTACCTCTCCATGATATTCTCTTTGATTACTCTGCTATTGTGATTTAAAATATTTCATATTGTCGTTTAGATGCTTACTTCTTTTTGTTATTGGTTCTGTAACTTTTGTAGTTTATGATATTTGACCACATGAAGCCCCTACTCTTCATTAAGTCAACCATAATGTGCAAGATGCATGAGTTGTCATTGTTGTAATTGTTGCTAATGATTATAATCTAGGATTAGGAAATACCCATGTAAAAATATTATGAATTGCCATTTTTCGTATTGAGAGCCACGACGGAATAACTATGTAGATGGATCGCCTTTTTGTTGCTGCATTTCTTTAGAATTGTTGCTTTCCTCTTATGTTGTAATTTTTTTTGTGTCTAAAGTGGATGTCTTATGGTAACGTTATAATGTAAATAAATAATCTCTCTTTTGTCCATGTTTCCTATAATTTATTATTCTTTAAGGATATTGTGTTTAGTAATGTGTTTTGAGTGTTTTGCTTAGCATTCTCCCATTAAAATTTGAGATTTAGGATATAACATGCATTTTTTTTTTGTCAAAGTCCAATCGTTGGTAATTATGAGAGCAACAACTAATTTTCATTTCATATAGTTTATTCTTCTCTTATAAAACTGTACCGGCCAACGGGCCGGGAACAATGCTAGTCAAGCTTCAATGGTTGAAACAAAACATTGAAACGTAGTTGCTGCCCAGCATATACGGATGGCAATGGGTCGGGTTAGGGCGGGTTTTGCCAAACCTAAACCCATGGGCTTATCCGCCAAAAAAACCCGGGGTAAAACCCGCTGGGTTTGAAAAACTCAACCCCAACCCAATCCGTTGGGTATTGTCACGGACCAACTCTTGGCCGTGCGACACTTAGCACTCAAGTCTCGTTAGAGAGCCAAGTCAGCCTTGCTCATATTCACTCAAACTCACAAGTATGGAGAAAAGCTATAGAGATGGAACTTCTCAATTTCTGGATGAATGAAAAGTGATGGAGAGGGCTGCTTATATAGACATCCTCTCCACTAAGTACAATGTATATGGCCGTCATAAATGAACGAACCTAGAAGTCCCCCCATACATGAACGTAATTAATAAGGTGCATGAATAAAAGATTGATAAGGGGGATGCATGTACATTGATGCATGAATCGCAAGATGCATGCATGTACCTACATCCTTCTAGAATGCTCTAGAATCTTCTGCGTAACATTCTCCCCCACTCAATCGAGCGACGCCTTCGTCGCGGACTCCGCATGAAATGCCTCGATCAAGTCTTTGTGACGCCATAGCGAAAGCTCCTTCTCCCAAGTGATGTCACTTTCTGGCCGCCCTTTCCACTTGACAAGATATTCCGCGTAGCTTGGGTGAACACCACGCCTAGGCACAACACGATGAGCCAAGATCTCCTCCACTTCGTGCTCATGTGTTGTGGTGACGAGAGTTGGTGCCCTCGTCGACTCCTTCCGTGCTCCATCTTCCTTGTCTTCATGATATGCCTTCAATTGACTCACATGGAAGACTGGGTGAATCTCCAAGTGCGATGGCAACTCGACTTTGTACGCCACCGTGCCAATCCGCTGCACAATCGGATATGGCCCTTCATATCATCGCAGCAGCCCCTTGTGCACATTTTTGAGGTGCTTGAATCGATGAGGGAATAACTTCACCATCACCAAGTTTCCCTCCTCGAATTCCAAGTGACGCCGCTTCTTATCCGCCCACTTCTTCATCTTCTTCTTTGCTCGAGCGAGATAAGACTTAGCCAACTCCATCTTCTCGTGCCACCCTCGTGCAAACTTGTAGGCAGATGGGCTGTTGCCCTTGTACCCCGTCTTCACCGTATTAGGTGTCAACGGTTGTTGCCCGGTAGCCAACTCGAACGGGCTCATGCTCGTGACTTCACTTCGGTGTAAGTTGTAGGAGAATTGGGCTACATCCAATAGCTTCACCCAATCCTTCTGGTTGGCACTCACATAATGCCTCAAGTAGACCTCCACCAAAGCATTGACCCGCTCGGTTTGCCCATTCGTTTGAGGATGAAAGCTCGTGGAGAAGTTTAGATCATAGCCCATCATCTTGAATAACTCCCTCCAAAACTTGCCAGTGAAGCGACCATCTCTATCACTGACGATGCTAACCGGGATGCCCCAATACTTCACAACATGCTTGAAAAACAAGCGGGCTGCATCCTCGGTCGTCAAGTCTTTGGGCCCTGCGATGAAGACGCCATACTTCAAAAATCGGTCGATGACAACCATGATGGAACCACACCCTTCGAATTTGGGAAGGCCGATGATGAAATCCATGCTAACTCTTTCCCAAGGCCGTTGTGGAGTGGGTAATGGCTCCAACAAGCCTGCCGGACTCCGCTGCTCCATCTTGTCTTGCTGGCAAACAAGACAAGTCTTGACGTAGAGTTCTACGTCGTCCTTCATACGAGGCCAATAGTAAGCCTCCTCGATGAGAGCTTGTGTGCGCTCAATGCCAGGATGACCAGCCCACTCGGAGTCGTGGCACTCCTTCATGATCTCCCTTCGTAGGTTGTCCCACCGCGACACGAACACTCGCCCTTGGTCACGATGAGTCCGCCTTTCATCCAAAATCGCCGAGTCTTTCCTTGCTTGATGTACTCGACCACGGTTTTGGCGAAGGGGTCGTGCCCAAGGCCTTCTTCAATCCGTTCCTTCAAGCGGAATTGCGGTTGCCTGATGGCGGCAAGCGTGCTCTTTCGGCTAAGAGCATCGACAACAAAGTTGGCTTTCCCCGGCTTGTACACCAGCACAAAGTCGAACTCCACGAGGAAATCTTGCCACCCTTCTTGCTTTGGCGTGAGTTTCTTCTGTGTGAGGAAGTAACTCGTCGCCACATTGTCTGTCTTTACAACGAACTTCGACCCAAGCAAGTAATGCCTCCACGTTCTCAAACAATGGACCACCGTCGTCATCTCTTTCTCTTGCACCGCATATCTTCTCTCGGCCTCATTGAGCTTGCGGCTCTCAAATGAAATTGGGTGTCCCTCTTGCATCAACACTCCACCGTTTGCAAAATCGGAAGCATCCGTTTGCACTTCATATGCCTTGGTTGGATCGGGAAGTGCTAGCACTGGCTCCTTCGTCACCGCATCCTTCAAGGCTTCAAATGCTTCGCGGCACCAATCCTACCATTCCCAAGCCTTGTTCTTCTTTAGAAGATCCCTCAAGGGTGCTGCAAGAGCGGAGTATCCCTTGATGAATCTCCTATAATAATTGGCCAGGCCGAGGAATGATCGCAACTCGGTGACCCTCGTTGGTGGCTCCCATCCTTGTATCGCCTCCACCTTGGCTTCGTCCATCTTTAGCTTGCCTCCGCCAATGATGTGGCCGAGGAAAGGAACCTTCGCGGCAGCAAACGTGCACTTCTCCTTCTTGACGTAGAGCTCGTTGTCTCGAAGGACTTGGTTCATCAAGGTGCAAAAAGTAGCAGGAGCGTTGGTTAGACCAAAAGGCATAACTAAGAACTCATATGAGCCATACCTCGTCACGCATGTCGTCTTTGCCTCGTCCCCCTCAGCTATCCTCACTTGATAGTACCTCGAGCAAAGATCAAGCTTCGTGAACCACTTTGCTTCTCCGAGTTGATCAAACAAGTCTCCAATATTGGGGATTGGCCACTTGTTCTTCACCGTGAGCTTGTTAATAGCTCGATAATCGATGCACATCCGCAACGAACCATATTTCTTCTTCTGGAACAACACGGGTGCTCCATAGGTGGATTTCGAGGATTGGATGAAGCCAGCATCCATCAACTCCTTGAGTTGCTTCCTCAATTCCTCCAACTCGGGAGGGGCCATGCGATAAGATGCTTTTGCTGGTGGCGTCGCCCCTTGCTCAAGCTCGATCTTGTGATCGACTTCTCTTCTTGGCGGGAGCTTCTTTGGTAGTTCCTTTGGCATCACATCCACGAACTCCTCCAACACGCCCTTGATGAGAGGTGTTGGCGCCACCGAGCCTCCTTCTTCCTTCGCTCGCAAAGTGACAAGGAACATGGGTTCCATCCTCTTCATTCCCTTCACCAATTGCATGGCCGATAAAGCTCTCTTCGGCCCTTCTTCGCGCAACATATTCACCGCGAAAAATTTATCTCCCTTGTCAAGGCAGAGAGTGTTGGAATTCATTGCCATCACCGCGCCCTCCTTCTCCATGAAGTTGACGCCAAGAATGACCAGATGGTCATCCATAGTGATGATGCTAAAGTCGACAACACCTTCCCAACCTTCGATCTTCAATGGCACGTTCTTGGCAACACCATGGATGGGCATTGCCTCAGAGTTGACGGTCTTGAGCGATCCTTGCCTCTTCTCGTAAGAGATCTCCAAGCGCTCCGCCTCCTCCACTCGAAGGAAGTTGGCGTTCGCACCGGTGTCAACCAATGCCTTTGACTCGCCTCCTTCGAATTGGGTGATCACAAAGAATCTCCCTATGATAACTTCGTTGGCGCTGGACTTCGCTGCGCCTAGCCTCCGCATGGAGCCTATCTT